GGGGGGGGGGGGGGGGTCCGCCGTAGTCGTACTTTGTGTAAATGTGAACCAGCCGCCCTTCGCTTCGACAGGACGGCACGTTGTATTCATCTCCCTGATACTCGAACCTCAGCTTCTGTTTCCCTCCACTGAGCGTAAGGAAAAGTTGTCCTCAGGGAAATGGCTGCTGGCAGTTGTTCTCTCTGGCGGGACCGTGTGGGGGTCACGTGTGACGTGATTCCTGCCATTACAGAGAGCCAGTGTTAATCCCCAGCTGTTCGGCATGTTTAGACTGTGTGCGGTGTGATCCCTGCCATTACAGAGAGCCAGTGCTAATCAGTGTTAGGCAGATTGCTGTGTGCTGACCATGCATGATCTGATTCCTGCCGTTACAGAGAACCAGCACTGATCCCCTGCAGTTTGCTGCATGTTGACTATGTGTGATGTGATTACGGACAGCCAGCGTTGATCCCTGGCAGTTTGCTGTATACAGACCGTGTGTGATGTTTGTCAGAAAATTAGTGAATTGAACTAGTCGGTGTGACTTAGGGGGTTAAGCCTTTCTGCTTGTAACTGGAAGGTTGCAGATTTGAATCCCATTCTTGGCAGAGTAGTCATGTCTAAATTGGGCTGTTGAGCACGACACTTAGCCTCCTGAAACGTGCTCAATGGCTGCTGGATGGATGTCTGACTTGGGCACCAAGCTTGGCTTCTACCCGTGGGTATAAAATGGAGAGCATGATGGGATATGTGAGAAATAACACATTCCATTCTCATACTTAAAAAGCTTCATTTCACTCACTCCACAGTATCCCTCACAAACTTAATGCTTCTTGACTGTTGTTTCCCTGAAATCCACTGGCTTCTTCAGTGCTCCTGAATCAGACAGATGAGCAACATTCTGATTCACTGTCTTCTTCTTCTTCCAGACCTTGGCGTCTTCAGCAGAGAGCTTCCAGATGAAGCACCAGTGGCGAGATGATTTCACGGTCAGTGCCACCTGACACCCACACTTATGGCGCCACTTGGCTCGGCATCCATATAATCTATCTATCTGTCCTTCCATCCATCCATCCATCCATCCATCCATCCATCCACCCTGTATTTGCTGGTCTTGCTGAAAACGGCACATTTTTTGTATATACAGTGGTACCCCAGAACTTGAACTTAATCCGTTCAGAACTCCTCCGGATCAAATCCTAACAAGTTCGAGTTCTGATCTAATTTTCCCCATAGGAAATAATGGAAAACCAATTAATTGATTCCCGGCCCCAAAAAATTACACGGAAATATGTTTTTTTTTAGCATTTAAACACAAAATGAGCCGGATAAAACAAGAAGAACATATACTGTACTAAACACATCTAAGCACATTTATCAAAACAGTAATTTTTAAAGTAAGAAAATAAATGTATCCAAACGCTGTGTTCTGCCCTGATCGTCCGCTCCTTCCGTGTGCCACGCCCCCTCGTTAACCCCGTGTGGAATCCCACTGTGATCAGCTGTTTCTGGTTGTTGTCATTAGTCCTCTGTATTTAGTCCACGTTTCAGTTTGTTTCCCCAGTCCGGTCATTGTATTGTCCGTCTGCGTTTTGCCTGCCTTACCTGTAATTAAACCCTGTATTCCCCGATACCCTGACGTCTGTGCCTTTGTCTCCGTTCCGTCCCTGCTGGGCATGACAATATTATTATAATTAAATGTATTCATGGTTTATTATTAATAAAATAATTAATAATAATTTAATAATTATTAAAATAATTAATAAGAATTATCATTGTCTAAATGTTTTTTTACTGTCTAAATATATGTATTCAGCTAGTGTAAACATGCATGACGCTATTGCAGCGAATGCGAGGCTGAGACTGAAGCTTTACCCTTTGTTTCCGCTGAGAGACGTGCCGCGTGACTCATTTCTCCCACACGTAAAAGTAATCTTAGGTCGGCATTCACGGTTTGACTTCTGAGATTCAGATCGAGTTCTAGGTAAAAAAAAATTTCAAACTGGTTGGTTCAACTTTTAAGAAATTCAAGTTATAATGAGTTTGAGAACTGAGGTACCACTGTACCTCTGGCAGTGAATGTGTGATTACTTTCACATGCCAATCTCTGGATTGTTAAGCTTTGAAATAAATTATCCCAGCTCTCTGTCGCCGGTGGGGAATCTCTAATGCATCCCATATATTCTCAATAAAAATTCTGCTGAAGTAGGTGTCTTTGCGATTTGGGGGGGGGGGGGGGGGGGGGGAGGTTATTGACATGAGATGTTGGATCTCCCAGGGTGCAGCCTTGAGTGGCGTTTTTTAATGTGTTCGTAAACAGTTCGTTTTCACTGGCGGCCCTCTTCTGCATGTCTGTCATAACTGCATAATGACTATCTTGGATTCCTTCACTTCTCTCTTTATCCTGGTAGTTTCTTGTATGAACGGCATAATTACAGGCATCTGTTGTAATTAAGTTTTTATAAATTAAAGTTTTTACTTTATGAAATGTCATACTATTTTGGGGAATCAAAAAGAAAGAGATGACACTCTGGAGTGATGATCTGTGTAGTTCCTGAAGCATTTCACAGCCTTTTATCGGGAAGCTTAGGTAATTGACAAACTTTACAGCAAAGACACTTCTTTGGCCTGGACATCATGTAAAACTGGATTTGTCCTCCACACGGTCAAGTCTGGGAAGCAGACATTTTGAGGAATGCTGTGTGGTCCTCTATAGCTGATCACCTGCTCAGATCTTTGTCATGTCAGAACTAGATGCAGGACTCAGGATTTCATTAGACGTGTTTTCACAGCAGTGTGTTTGCATTTAAGGTGGCATAGTGTGTTATAGGCATCCCGAAGCCATCTCCCCCCGCATTGCCTGTCTGTTCTTCTCCAGTTTCTTCACAGCCAACATGGGCTGCATGAAAGCCCTGATTTGAAAGGTTCCTCTTTTTTGTGTAAAAATGTCGAGTCTTTTCAGCTTGATATCTTCCTGTTTCTGCTTCTGTAAGTGACTGCAAAGCTAATTAAATTACTAATCAATGTCTTTTTCTTTTTCAGGATGATATTGTTTATTATGATGCAAAAGACGACGTAAGTACCGTTTGTTTCTATATGAATTTGTGCATACAGTTTCTGAATCTCATGGCAGACTCTGTGCAGCCTTTTGCATGTAATGGAGTAGGGCGAAGCTTCCCTGTATCCGGCGATATGCCAGTCACTGACCCAGGTTGGTCACCACATCTGTCTCTGTCACCGCCGGCTCAGGATGGAGTGCCCAGTGGTGAGCAGATGAAGTGCCTGACAAAACAAGAGCATTTCCAAGTGATTATGCGCAGAAGATTAAAGGTCAAACAGCAACAAACAGGGTCTCTTTCCCTTTGAACACATTAGGGTTAAACCTAAGATGACTATTTGTGCTTAAACCTCAACCTGAGGGGCCACCAAGCCCAGTTCGGAGGGGCATAGTGTTCATCCAGGTGCTGGGGTGTTCTGCTCAAAGCTTGAGAAGATAAAAATTCATTGTCCTCTCTGAGTTTCCCAGAATGGTTATTTCTCATTTTATCGGCTGTATTTTTTAATTAAAATCTCTGAAATCCCGATAGAGCTGAATCTAATGCATTTTACGGCTGAGCTGATGTGATTGTGGCGATGCGCTTGCTCTGAGACTGAATCCTGCCTGTCTGAGAATTAATCCTGGAGGGGTATGAAGATGGATCAGGGTGTAATCCTGCTCCTCAACTTCTCCACAGACACAACTACATTTGTTCCTTGCATAAAATGTCAGTCTGGTTCTAATCGACACTTCTGGTTGTCTAAAAAAACGCAGCTTGCAGTCAAGCAGCCCCTGGCCGCCTTTCGGTGAAGCTTCCCAATGTTCACGTGTTTCCTCTGCACCATTAGAATATGTTATAAGAACAAGGTGGGAATTTGTGAAGACCATACAGGACATTCAGGCAAGAGGAGGCCAATTACATCTCAAGCTGAAGTTAATTACAAATGCCCCCCCCCCCGTTGAGAATAATGTTCCCCATTATAAGGTGTCCACCTACATTGGAATCCCATAAGTGCTCCTCAAACCCCTGCAGCCTCGCTGTGGACTAATCGTCAGTGACACCTATCCGGACAACATCACTTTCCGGTCACGGCTCGCTGATACACTGTTGATTCCACCTTGTTTTGTATTTTGAGCATGGACACCCCCCCCCGCACCCCCCACAGTCTCCTGTGCCTTGACACTCCTTCTCCATCCACAGGTCACATCCAATGACACCTCCAAAAGCAGGATCAAGCCGGAGTTCCAGGAGGACCCAATGTTCAAACGGCCAATCTCCTACAACCACACGGCGGTCCACATCCCCACAGACATCTACGAGGGCTGTGAGTGCTGCCGATGACCTCTCTGGCTTTCTGGACCTCATGTCTCTGCTCAGAGAGGCACATTTAATGAGTGTGATGGTGCTTCATTAATCCTATCTACAGTACCTGATCTGTCTATTCTGTTTTAATAACCACCGAACTAGCCCTGGTCTCTGATGATGTTAGACTTGGGTGAATATTCTGATATACAATAAGCCATAATGGAGTACACATCTGTACATGGAGTGCACATCTGTACATGGAGTGCACATCTGTACATGGAGTGCACATCTGTTCTCATCAACGTCATTTCAGAAAAATGGCGATTTACTGAACAGTGAAATAATACAGTGATGTAATACAGTGCTGACATACGCTGGATATTGAAAGGCCAGCCAGATATAAATAAGGGCAGTTCTTTACCCCTCAAAAGGCCATTTATTTATCCATTAATTCTTCTGTTTTAGTGTTTTGCTGTGGTTTCACTTAGACCCAAATATTTTAGGCAGGCATCGCATCGAAGTGAGGAGTTTGGTATCGTTACAACACTAGTGGGTAGTGACCCTAGTGGCTGGTCTATGTAGATGCCTGTGTGCCGCAGTGAACAGTGAACATGCACATGCAGTGAACGGAGAACATGCACATGCAGTGAATGGAGAACATGCACATGCAGTGAATGGAGAACATGCACATGCAGTGTCCGTATCGCTCACAGTCTTGACATCTGGCACTGACTGTTCCCACGGCAAGTTATTTTTGGATTTTCCTTTCGTTCCCTGAGACCCATTTGCCTGAATTGCCCATGGCCAAATAGCCCCAGGCAGGAATCTTTATGGTACTGCATGACCGGAGTATGGAGGAGCAAGACATCTTTCCAAGCGCTGCGTGTTGCGTTTTTGTGTTTAATATCTCTCTTTGCTTATCTTACTGTTGAAAATCTCCCTCTCTCCAGCTGCAAAAATATGGTATAAATGTGTTACCGCAAGTGGCCCAAGGCATAGAGCATCATAGCATAGTGTACAGTAGCATAGTGCAGTGTGTGGATTTAATATTAAAGCACTGAATATGTCTGAGGGGATATAAACTGCATGGTTTCCTTGGCAGACCTGTGAGCTCATTAAGTTACTTGAGACAATTAAGTATGCTGAAGTGAGTTCAATAGGAAGTGTGACAGCATAGGCTCAAAATGCTTTGTTCTGCAATAAGCAAGTAATTGTAATGTGTGTGTGTGTGTGTGTGTGTGTGTGAATTATGTTTTTATTACATTGTGGGGACCAAATGTCCCCCACACCATTGTAGGGGTCAGGAACTTAGGCTGCTGTGAACAGAACCTTTTCTCCTGACTCCCTGGAGCACTGAGAACATCACCAGTGATCCGATCGTCCTTTGGTAGATGCTGATAATGTCAGTGCATTTTTACTGCTACTGGTGGCAGGGAACCATTTTTTACATTTCAAGTGAATGGAAATAGTCTCTAAAGACCTGTTTGTATAGTAATAGTAAGGGCTTTAGGGCTGCTGAAATCTAGAGAGCACATGTGGTACAATTATTACTATTATTTTAATATCCAGCCATCCATCCATCCTACCAGTTTTTATAACTCCTTACCCAATCCAGTGCGAACATTAAGTTGCATGTTTCTGTACAATCGATGGAAACGGGAGGATCTGCCACAGGGTGAACATGCCAACTGCACACACACAGAGCAGCGGCGTGCCATGACAGCGCTGCCAGCTGTGCCAATGTGCCCCCTCGATACTAGGTCTGCATGACATGGGATGTTAATACTGACATGGCATTTCATGCACATGCAACTGTCATCGCAAGGGGCCCAATAGGTTGATGGACATTGGCGTACTTCATGTATATTGTATATAAAATATTTCATATATTTATTGATGTATCTCACATATCTATCCAGACTGATCATTACTCATATCTAAGTCAAATTCCATACATTTATATTCTCCTTTGTATGCAGTCTAATGTAACTGTACTATTTGCACCCACTGTCTATTGCACCTTACTCTAATATTTGCACGAGAAGGAAAATGTTAATCAGTGCATTTTAGTAATCGAGTTTAATGGCATAATTATGACATACAGTATCTGGCTATTGTTAAGCTATAGCTATATTGTTAAGTCAATTACATAAAATCCAATTGAAATTTCATTTCATTATGTTATCACGGGTGTCACTGTCTACCTCAGGACCCCACTCGTCAAGGTCCTTCAATGGGGATTCATGGAATAAACACTGCATCTGCTCTTCCTGCACGCCCTGGGACGCCCTCGGCGAGTTGCCGCCCTGGGCGGCTGCCCGTGTTTCCCCTACAGCCAGTGCATTACCAGTCATGATACAGAGTTAGTTCACTTCATATCTTAACCAGTTATTGTGGATTATGCCCAATATTCTTAATGTCTTCCCTGTGCTGTCTTTTGGAAGACTGCCCTAAATAGTTAAATTAAATACGTCTTATTTCTCCATATGAAAAAGCAGCATAAAGGCCACTGAGGACTTCAAAGCCCAGCCAGTGTGCTCCATGTCATTAGAATATGGTGCTATTGGAGAGCTTCCTTACAAGTGTCACCACTTACTGTAATGGCAGACATTTCTTTTAAGTGGACTCCTGGGCCTAATTGTAAATGCTCCTTTCTGGGATAATACTGTACGCTTCCTTCTGATTTGCTGTCCAGCCACTGATCTCGCTGTCCACATATATCTAATACATCAGCAGAGGATTCGGTATATTTAGATATTTGCACTTGGGACTTAAATTTATATCTCACACGTGACACAGCTGAACTGCTTTGATAGTAAAACTATGAGAAGAGGGGAGAGCTTTCAGGCAGTGACCCCAGTGGGGGGGGGGGGGTACACTGGGCATCGGGGACAGGGAATTGAATTGAGAATTCATTTGGTGAATGGCATTGTTACCGAGTGAGTTTTCTCCTGCCCCGTCTAGCGCGCTCGTCCTGCGGCTGCGGGTTTTCTCCTGCCCCGTCTAGCGCGCTCGTCCTGCGGCTGCGGTTTTTCTCCTGCCCCGTCAAGCGCGCTCGTCCTGCGGCTGCGGTTTTTCTCCTGCCCCGTCTAGCGCGCTCGTCCTGCGGCTGCGGGTTTTCTCCTGCCCCGTCTAGCGCGCTCGTCCTGCGGCTGCGGGTTTTCTCCTGCCCCGTCAAGCGCGCTCGTCCTGCGGCTGCGGTTTTTCTTCTGCCCCGTCTAGCGCGCTCGTCCTGCGGCTGCTTTATTTTGGTGCCACCATGAGCAAAGATGCTGTGATAATCTGTTTCTATAAGAAAACCAGAGTCCAGTGAAGAGAGGTGTCACCTGGGAAGTCACGCGGATCTGCAGACGTGAAGCATGAGCTGGAGCCTGGAGCTCGTGAGGAGCGTGCATGAGGGAGGGTGGGGTACGTGTGTGTGATCCCAGAGACGCAGAGGAGACAGCCCCCCCACCAACCTAAATATAACCTAAATAGTTGTAAATATATACAAAAGCAGAGTCCTGGTACCAGAGGTTGTTGCTTACGGCCGTTTCTCATCGGTGCCTTTAATCTCGGGAGCCACAGCGGAGCTGCGAGGCTGAAGCAGCTGCTGCTTTTCCAGGGTCCCCTGGCTGTTAAAAGTGGGTGTAAATTCACAGCCGCATCAGCAGAACTCGCCGTCACCATCGCCACGTCTGTCTGCCACGGCCCCTTTGGGTTTATCTGACTGGGACATTTACGTCGCCACCCGTCACCCCGGGAGGGATCCCGATAGAAACAGAAACGTGGGTCCAAATGGATCTGCTCAGACATTGGCTAGATATTCCACCTTTTCTTCAGCAGCTCTGTCTTCCTCTATTTGTATTTCTGACTAATGAAAGCACTGCTCGTGGCTCACTTTCGCACTTTTCAGCCGTGGTATTTACTCAGTTAGAGCCGGGCTCCAGACCTCTCTGTAATCACTGGCACTGCATCAGCACTGTACCCTGCATCCATCTCGCACTGCCATCGCACATAGTGCCTCACTCAGATCATGCCTTTATTTATTCGTAATTTTGTTTTTGCATTTTCGGGGGAACAGTGTGTGACAGAATTCCTGGATACAGGCCGGGTTCCAGCTTTGAATTGTTGGCTGTGATTATCTGGGTGGGGTGACTTAAAAGCTTGCTGAGCGGACGGGGTGTCCATAGATCGATCGAATTTAATCCCCTTGACTGGTCCATTTTCCCTCAGGTGGAGTGTGTGGGCTGAGCTTATGAAAGGGCCCCCACAGGCCCCCACTGAGCCCTCACCACACCCCCACAGGCCCCCACTGAGCCCTCACCACAGCCCCACACACCCCCATTGGTTCATAAGAACATAAGAAATATACAAACGAGAGGAGGCCATTCGGCCCATCGAGCTCACTTGGGGAGAACTTAACTAATAGCTCAGAGTTGTTAAAATCTTATCTAGCTCTGATTTAAAGGAACCCAAGGATTCAGCTTGCACTACGTTATC